CTTTTTGTTTTATTGATGGTTTCTTTTGTTGTGAAAAAACTTTTAAGTTTGATGTAGTCCCATACGTTCATTTTTTCTTTTACTTCCCTAGCCCGCGGGGATGTATCAGTAAAAATAATTCTCAGGATAATGTCTGCAAATTTAGACCCTATATTTTCTTCTAGGAGTTTTATGGTCTCAGGTCTTATATTTAAGTCTTTAATCCAATTTGAATTTGTTCTTGAGACAAGAGAATTTTTAAGGTTTTTGTTTTTGATTTTTTTTAGCTGAGCCATCCTGCCACCTGTTGGCAGCTCAGCGGCAGCTCAGCTCAGGCCCGGACTCGAGCTGCTGTTGCTCAGAGCTCACACTTTTTTTTTTCTTGGCACAGGGATTTTTTTTTGCCCTGTATAATTTTATTTTAAAACACTAACAGTTTTCTGGTGTTGGGAGCACCATGTCCTGTAAAACTTTTAAGTGAATGGACAATTACAATAAATGGACTCTTTACCTCGCCCTGAACTTGGCTTACTGTAGGAGACTCAATAAATATTTGTTGGTGAAATCAGAAATCTGAGGCTGAATTGTTAAAGTTCGTCTTGGTCACTCCTCTCTCATGAAGAAACCCAGCGGCTTAGAATCACCTCCTGAACTTTAATTCTTTTCATACACTCTGGTGACTCCATTTCTTCGTCAGTCATGGTAGAGGGTTTAATCAAATAGCACAGCATAAATTCCTTGGAGACATTCACTGAAACTCTGTTCAAGGCGGCCAGTGACTTCCAACTGAAAGGTCTTCTAAGAGACCCCTCAAAATGGTCATCGACTAGCTCAATAATGACAGAGTAACTTGCATGGTAAAATGGAGGACCTTTTCGATACAGCAGTAAATCTGTTCCGTACTTAAGTCCTACTTTGGGCACCCAGCCCTTGCTTCGGAAGTAATGGTACGCCATGTATGTAGTCCTGAATGTGGGCTCAACTGTGGTAAAAACCTTCCACAGTTTCACAATCGTTAAAGGCTCCTTCTCATAGTAAATACTTAGACATCCCAGAGCATAGACCAGGAAGAAGGCCTCTTCTAGGCTGAGTTGCAAATACTCAAAGATCCTATATGGATTTCTTCTGCATATTAGTTTCTTTTTTTGTGCCAATTCCTCATTTGGGGCATCTTCCCTCTCGCTCACATTACACACAGCTTCCTCCACCAGCACATACTCATCAGCAGGCCCTCTCTCCCTGGCACAGGTGAGGCCCACTTGGTGACTACTGTCCTTGGGCTGAGCACCATCCTGGGGGAGAACATCCTGTTTGCCACAGTGGACGTGGAGGAGAGGTACCACGTGTCCATCCAGGCCATCTCCAGTTAGTGGGTCATGCCCCAAGTCCTGCAGGCAGTCTGATTGCTTGTTGGGGTCCTCCCAACCGTCTGGCTTTCCTGAGTCCCATTCATCACAGAAAGATTCTCTCTGTCCTCTGTGCCTTCCATCTTGGAAACTATTTCAGAGTTCCGCTCATCATTCCTTTTTACACCAGGGTGCTCAAGTGGTTTTGTGTAATCCTTGAGGATTCTATGCACTGTATCTTCATCGTGCCCCTGTCTTCGCACGAGCTTTGTGGCCCATTCTATACTATGCTGATACTTCTTTGATGTGATTATAGGCATGTCTGTCTTCAAATCTTTCCATTTAGGAACCAGCTTAGGATCTAAGATTGTAAAGTTTGGACAGCTTCTAGACAGGATACCTTTTCCAAAATAACCTTTCCTGTACAGCTGCTCAATATCTTCTGCGTTCCTTACAATTACATTGTTGTTTATCATTTCAGTGGGGAATATTTTGAAGTCTTTCTTAGGACCAGAGTTTGGACCAAAGGAGATCGGAAATGGAGACTCATAATTCTCATACACTCTTCTTTTCCTCTTTGGGGCACGGAAAACTGCTTCTGCCATTTCTCAAGCATAACTGTTCTTTTCGGCCACATGCGCTCACCGTTACCCCGACAACGCCGGCCCCAGAGCTCACACTCTTTTTTTTTTTTATTGTTAGTTTCAGGTGTACAGAACAATGCAATAGTTACCCTTTTCACCCTCACAAAATAACAACCCCCCTCCCCCCAACCNCTCCCCCCAACCACTGCCCTCCCACCCCCGGTATCATGCTTATCTATTACAATTCCATTGAATCCGTTCCCACACTCTACTCCATGTCCCGAGGTTATATGTATATATAATTATAGTTGACATACAGTATTATTCAACATCAGTTTCAGAAATACAATGTTGAGAGTGCTCTTAACCAACTGAGCCACTCAGCCGGCCGTAAGGTTTTTGATAGTTATTGTCATGCTGTCTTTCAGAAAGTCTATTTTGTACCAATTTACGTTCCCAGCACAATATTCCTTTAAGTGGAACTCTTTATGGAAACTTTTATGCTTGTATTTTACTAGGAAACTTTTTCAATAAGTTGAAAAAAAAAGAAGGTAGATGTAAAATACCCACACCACCACCAAACGCACTCAACAAATAATTTTTATTATTTTTATCAATAGTTTTGAAGTCTAAAAATATTACCTGTAAATGATGAACAACAATTACGGTTACATAATAAATTGATAAGTGAACAAAATGCAAATATATATTTGGGTATATATTTATGTGATTATCATTATTGGAAAGAAGAGAATTACATTAAATCCCTACTTAGAGAAAAACCCCTGGTGATCAGTACTGAAATATGAGATCAATTGTGATGTGTAGCATAAAAGATGCAGCTTTCTGGTTTCATCATAGCAGATTGAGCTCATGATTTAATCTCCTCCAGTATAAAAGAATGTTAAATAAATATTTGTGTAATATTATCAAAAACAAGGAGGGGAGTTCTTGCTGGCTCAGAAACAGTGAGGAATACCTCAAAGGTGATAACACACATCCAAGAATACATGCATGACCTTTGTGGCATGGGTCTATTAACCTAAAAATGAAAGACCTTTCAAAGTGAGAGGCAACAAGCATTTTTTGAGATCAAAGAATAGCAATTTGGGAAGCACTGATTCAGGCAGAAGCCCAAATAGTGTTCTGATTAGGAGACAAAGATGAGATCTTTATGAAAAAGAGAAGAAGAACAATTACATCAACAGATGGAAGGCATTTCTATCAGTGCAGAAAAGCTAACATAGTGATATTAATTCTAAACAATGTTTTTAATTTTCAGTACGGTAGTCATCAGTCTAGTAGTCTTAATATCTGCTTCCTTGTTATCTTTGCAAACAGTTCTTTAGGATACAAGGTTGCTTTAGGCCCAGTCTAAAGTTTATTTTGCCCTGTTTTAACACCCCAAAGGTTTGAGGCATAAGCCATGCAAGGCAGTTCTTCTGAAATGGCAGCTCCAACTCCATTTTAAAGTGGTTCCAGTTATTTATTTTATGTTTTTACAGGTTCTTGAACCAAGGACAGCATCATCCAACAGAGCTTGTTCAAGCCTGGAGTTAGAAGGGACCCAGGATGAGCAAATGGGGAAGATATGATGACTTTCAGAGGGACTAGCTAGAAAGCTTGCCCCCTAAGCACACTCATCCCAGGAATTATTTCAGGATATAGCGACCATGGTCACCAGCAGTGGGAAGAATAAAAAGTGGAAGCAAGGCTCAGGGAGACAGAGAAGTGCCCCAGTTAATTAGCAACACCCAGATTGAAGTGGGGCCACCATAGTTATGGTATATCCTACCCTGTCATTAAAAAGAAGATACCACTTTACGAATGTCAGAATGGCAAAAATAAGAATGAATGAAAATGCCATGTGTTGGTAAGGACGTGGAAAAACGGGATCCCTCACAATAGCGATGGCCAGGGAACAGCAGACTGCAGCCTTTTGCAAAAGCAGTCTGGCAGCACTTAGTGGATTGATGTTAATGTAAGGCCAGAAATCCTAGGGCAAATGGTATCACCCAGGTTTCATGACTGAGTGGAAAGAATGAGAGAATAAATGAATGCCTGACAGATGCACTGAAAACACCTCTGTATACTCACCCCTGCCTTGATGTATATGGGGACAAAGAACCATCCTAGAACCAGCAACAGCAGCAGGGCCTATCAGAAACCAAGAAAAGAGTGTGAAGTTTAGAGAGGCTTGGCTTGTGGGCCTTGTCACTTCATGCCCTTTGAATCTTAAAATAAAATACAGCAAGTCCTCATTTAATGTTGTTGATAGGATCTTGGAAACTGCAACTTTAAACAAAATGATGTACAACTGAACCAATTTTCCCATAGGCTAATTGATATAAGCTAGAGTTAAGGTCCCACAGCATATTTCTGGTCACAAAAACATCACCACACTTCTAAATAAAGATCCCAAACACTTCCAAAATTAAACATAGAAATAAACATGATATATATGTATATATATATATACACACACATTTTTTAGCTGAGCCATTTTGCCACCTGTTGGCAGCTCAGTGGCAGCTCAGCTAGGGCCAGGAATCAAACTGGTGACCCTGTTGCTCAAAGCTCGTACTCCTGAGCGAGCTCTTAACCAATTGAGCCACTTGGCCAGCCCATGAGCTACACATATATTTAATACAGATTAATAAAAACAAGTAAGATCATTATTTTCCAACCTGCTTATTTCAGTTCAGGGTCGAGGTGGCTGAAGCCTCTCCTGGCAGCTCAGGGTGCAAGGTGAGAATAAAGCCTGGACAGGGCCCCCTTTCATTGCAGGATGGACATACACACACACACAGACTGGGAAAATTTAGACATGCCAGTTCATCTCATGTGCATATCTTTGGGATGTGGGAGGAAATTGGAGTACCCAGAGAAAACCCATACAGACATGGAGAGAATTTGAAAACTCCACACAGACAGTGGCATGGGCTGGGAATGAATTTTGTTTTCTTATTAATGTTATAACAAAATGATGTTGAATGAAATAATGTTACTCAAGGACCTGATATAAGTTTGCTTGGATCTTGTCCCACTCAACCAATTATGATCCATCCCAACATAGCTGTGGATTCCTTTCCTCTGCTTTCATGATTCAGAGGCCACCATTTCCTGGCACTTAGGATGTGACAAAAGATGCATGGTGAAAAATGGACAGAAGATAATAGATCTGAGCACAGCTGGACCACTGGAAAGTCATATCATCTTTGCCAAAAGAAATTAATTTTGCCTGGCAGGAATTATATACAGAGCAACAAAGCAATGAGAGAAATTTGGAAATAGGATATTCCCAGTATCCCCCAAGTCTTGCCACTTATAATAATGATAATAGTATAATGTTGTATTAATATTAATGTTTACAAAGAGTCTTCCTGTATATCACTCATGCTACTATCATGAGGCAGATATGATAAGTACAGTTATTCCTGTCTTATAGAGGGGTAACCTGAGCCTCATAGAGATTAAAGAGGCCCAAGGTCACAGGTTAAAAGAGTCAGGCTTTCTGCAGCCTTATAACCATATCCACTGGGGCTATAAGGCTTTTTGTCCAAACCTCTGGAGGCTGGCTCCCTTCTGGAGTCCACGGCTCTATCAAAACAAAACTAAGGCCATAGGACATGTCTGGAGGCTGGCTCCTTTCTGGTCCCCAATACTGCTGAAGTAAAACTAGAGGCAAACTCTTTAATAAGGGAGGGGCACTGGTATTTGTGATGACTCAAGGTCACTTGCTGAGTCCATCCTGGGGTGGTCTGTTCACATAATTACTACGATCCAACTTTCTTCCATATAAGTATCTCCCTCTGACTGATATGCAAACACTAGAAAAAGTAAGGGAAAAAAACAGAAAAAAAACCTCAGGCAACTCAAGGAATATTTACAGCATGTGCTCAGCTATAAGCTAGATGATGGGGCAGTACAAGTGACATAAGAGGAGATGGTACCTGTCCTTAGAAGGTTTAGGGTCTAATGAAGGGGACACAGCTTTTACTGATGAAATGGCAGTAGAATAATTAGGAACTCAATCACAAAGTTTTGTAGATTCTACCTACTATCTCTAAATCACTCACTCCTTACTCTGCTGTCACTTCCTTAATCAGGAGGCACTTGGTCAGTTTCTATGCATCCATCTGGCATCAGCACCAGGATACTCCTTTGACACATGCCACACCTCACCCATCATCTTGGATGGATGCCTGTCTTGTGTGAAATCCCTCAAGACTCCATGCAATTCTCACTCCTTGTATTTTCCACACTGCAGTGAATGCATACCTGTCTTTTCTACTGAGATGTCAGCTTCTCAAAAGAAGGGACTATTGCTTTTACTTTTTTAAATGCTTGCATCCAATTCAGAGCTGGACACACAATGTAATTGCTTGGGGAGAAGAGGTAGAAGTGAGAGCTACAATGATCAAGGAGGTCAAGTGAAAATGGGGATTAAATCATTTGTCATTGAAATGACATTCCTGATGGCAATAACTGCTTGAGCAAAATCTCAGAGGTGGGGAATGTGATTGGAATGGCCCAGGCAGAATAGGGAAGGTCCTGAATTTCAAACAATGGGTGGGTTAGGAAAAGGAAAATTAGAAATCAAACCAAAGAGGAATTTGTCCTATCCAGATTCCCAGAAAAACATATCTGAATAGAGTTTTGACTTAAAGGAAACAGACTATGGGATCACTTACATTCCATTCAAATGCTGCAGTGGCGATTCCTGAAGCCGCTCCGGTCCCCGCCAGCCCCACAAAGTGGCCACTGCCGATGTTACTGGCGAAGAGAGAGGCACCCATCTGGAATCCAAAAGAACACACTAGGATCAGGGTAAAAAAATTAAAATCACACTTCATGAAAACAAGTCAATGTTGAGATGTTTCCATGTCTACTCCTTAAGGTGGAAGTCAACAAACTACAGCCTGTGGGCTGAATCTAGTTTTTGCATGGTTGGTAAGCTAAGAATATTTTTTACATTTTTGAATGGTTAAGAAAATCTAAAGAAGAATAATAGTTTATGAAATTACATGAAATTAAAATTCCAGTGTCCATAAATAGTTTTACTGGAACACAGCCATGCTCATTGGCTTTATGTATTGACTGTGGCTGTTTCCATGCTGCAATGGCCAGTTGTATGGTTGCAAAGGGCTGTATTGCCCACAAAACTCTAAAGTACTTTCAATCTGCCATTTTATAGACGAGCTTGATGGTGCCTGTGCCAGAGGAATATTAATCCAGCTACCTGAATGCTCTGAGCTCAGCCTGTCCTTAGCCAAGAAATGCCAGGCCTCCCATCGGCTCTTTTAATCAGTCTCAAGGATCCCAAAATTGGGTCGGAGGGGTGCCTCTTCATCCTTATGTTCCTAAGTGCCCTCTTATAATCCACCTGCCTTCCCATCACATTGTCTACTGCTCTTAAGTCTCAAAGATCAAGAGGGAGCTCTTGAGTGGGCACAGATCGGCATTAGTACTGACTGAACAAAATTGAGGTGTGAGACCCCTGCAGTGCCTGTTCTTCTGTTCCCATCTTTTCAGCCTTCTGTAAAAACTGCCTTTTCTATTCAGGCATTTGGGATCAGTTCATTTGTGGTTATGGGGTTGGTTGGACACCTCAATAAAAATCCATTCCAAGGTTGTAGTTGGTCTGCTTCAACCATCCTGGCCAGGTCATTTACTGATCTCCACTTCCCTTCACACTACTTAGTCAGCAGATTTGTGAAGGAAGCATGTACTGAGCATTCACTGTATACCCAACCCACAGCTGACAGTGCATGGGTTCAGAGAAGAAGATGCAGCCTCTGCTGCATTGAGACTCTTGCCAAGGATCCCAGACATCAGAACCCAGCAAGGAAGACACCAACTGGGCCAGAGTCAGAGGCATCACCATTGGCACAATCACAGGGAACACACATCTCCTATTACAACTGCATGGAACAGAGGACTAGACATTCATGTGGAAGTGCAGGGTGAGGCTTCTCAGATGAAGCAGGGTTGAGCTGGTTGCTGAAGGAGGAAAGCAGAGGGGGACACTCATCCAGAGGGGCAGCATTAGCTCAGGGTTGGGAAAAGGGAAGGAATGTGCTGGGGATCATCAGGGGCCAAGACAGAAGATTCTTGATGAGAACCAGGGAAAAAGAATATTGAGGCAAAGCTGATTTGGGTTTTCTCAAATGTCACACTACACCTGTTGTCATAATTGGTGACACACAATCATTTAGTAGACTAATGGGGCAGAGCACTGAGGTCAGGGATTTAGGAAAAGAGACATAAGCAAGGGGGCAACCAATGCACATCAGAAATAATCAGCATTCCCAAGGTTTTCTTCATTTACTCTTAAACATACATGCACATGGGACACTTCTCTCCAGGAAACTCTAACCCACTCACCGGCCACCACGCCACATCTCGACCAGCCAGGAAGAAGCCTCCAACAGTGCCCCGGTTGGTCTTCAGCATGGCCTGAGCAGAAGGGAAGACATGTGACAGTTAAAGCACAGCAGATGCACCCAAGATGCCCCAAAGACAGTGGCCATGGTGCTGATGAAAGTGACTTTCCAGCTCTCCTGAAGAAACTTTCCTGGAAACTGTGATATAATATCAATTTGTAAAGGGCCTCAAAATTGTAGTTTCATAGGAATCCAGGGACTTTAGGAAATTATATTCCTCAACGGTTGTCCTAATTTCTCTGTTTATTTTTATTTATGAAAACAACATGCAGTATCATTGAAGCTGTGCTTAGAAGAAAATTTGCAGTCTCAAACTCATTACTAAAAAGAAAAAAGGAGCACCAATGCATTTATGCCTCCAACTCAACTAAGAGAGTGAGCAAATAACAAAGGAAAATAAAAGAAGTGAGATAATAAAAATAATGTCTTTATTCATTATGCCACATGCTTGAGATGCTGAACAGAGTAAGTGTGAAGTTCCCAAGTGTTGGTCCTGTTCACACGATGGGGTTGTTAGGAGAATCAATTAAGTCATTGCAAGAATTATTGATGTCACACAAGGAAATGATTCTGAGAGAAGGACAATGAAATATGTGAGAATTGTTAATGTTCTCTCAGCCTTATCACACCACACCTTTCCCTCCTTTAGATGTCTTACCCCCAAGCCTTGTGCCCACCCTAAAAGTCCATGGGGTTCCTACATACCCACAGCCCGACAGCCATCACCACCACGAAATAAACAGTGATGACAGAGATGTCAGCAGCATTTCGGATGCGCTCTGACATCTCAGGAGGGCTTGGGGTGCCAGTGCTGGGGCTCAACGTGCTGGCCATGGCTGCAGGCGGTGCTGTCCGCATCCCAGGAATGGCCCTTTCCTTATATAAGCTCTGGGTTAATGATCAGCCTTGAGCAGGTGGGGCACACTATCAGTACAAGCTCCTGAGCATGGGGACCTTTAAACCTTTTCTCTACAACTCTGAGAACCTGGTCCTCCAGTGTTGGCCTACGTAGAGTGTGAGGCAAGAAATGAAGTGAGAATTGGAGGTGGAGAGTGGGGTGTTCACGTAAAGACAGGGTCTTTAAGAAGATTTGACCAGGTTAAATGAGGATTAGGGAGAGATGACAGGGACAAGGAGGGGAGGTCACAGGTGAAAGGGCCAGAAAAGGGTCAGGAGGTGTAGGGGGTGAGGGTCTCTTACAGAGTGTTACTCAGCTGGCCCTTAATATTATCTTTTGAATGCATACAATTTTTAATTTTAATGTTTAATTTACCTATTTTTTCTTTTGTTGTTTGTATGATTAATGTCATACTAAAAAACCATCACCAAATCCAATATCATAAAGATTTTACCCTATATTTTATAGTTTTAGCTCTTATGTTTAAGTCTTTGGTTCATTTTGAGTTAATTTTTATGTGTGGTATAAAGTAAAAGTCCAACTTCACTCATTTTCATGTGGTTACCCAGTTTTTCAAGATCTGTTTATTGAAGACTGTTCTTTCTTCATTGAATGTTCTCTGCACCCTTGTCAAAAGTCATTTAGCCCTATACAAAATGGTTTATTCCTGGGCTTTCTATTCTATTCCATTGCTCTATATGTCAGTCTTTATGCCAGTACCACACTGTTTTGATTACTGTAACTTTGTAGTAAGTTTTGAAATCAGAAGTGCAAGACCTCCAAGTATTTTCTTTCCAAGATTATTTTGGCTATTCAGGGTCACTTGAGATTCAATATAAATTTTAAAATAGGATTTTCTATTTCTGCAAAAATGTCATTGAGATTTTAATAGAGAGTGCATTGACTCTATAGATTGCTTTGGGTAGTATTGTAATTTTCACAATATTAAGTCTTCCAATCCATGGTTATGGGATTTTGTTTCTTTCAGCAATGTTTTTTAGTATTTATTGTACAAGTTTTTCCACCTTCTTGATTAAACTTATACTTAAGCATTTTATTCTCATTGATGTTAGGATAATGGAATTGTTTACATAATTCTCTTTTGGGATTTTTCATTGTTAGTGTATAGAAATGCAATTATTTTGTGTGTTGGTTTTATATTCTGCAAATTTGTTGAATTATTAGTCTAACAGTATTTTTGTAGAATTTTTAGGGGTTTCTTCATATATGATCATGTTATTGGCAAACATTTTATTTCTTCCTTTCCAACTTGGTACCTTTTATTTCTTTTTCTTTCCTTAATTTTCTCTGGCTAGGACTCCTCTTACTATTTTGAATAGAAGTGATGAAAGAAGTCATTCTTGTTTTGTTTTTATCTCAGGGGAAGAGCTTTCAGCCTTTCACCATTAAGTATGATGTTAGCTGTAGAATTGTAATTTATGACCTTTAACATATTGAGGAAGTTTCCTTCTAACCCTTTTAATATGCTGCTGAATTCAGTTCACTAGTATTTTATTGAGGATTTTTTCATTAATATTCATAATGGATATTGGTTTGTAGCTTTCTTGTTTCTTTGTCTGGCTTTGGTATCAGGGTAACGCTGGATTTACAAAATGAGTTAGGGAGTGTTTTCTTCATTTTTGGGGAAGTGTTTGAAAAGAATTGGCATTAATTATTTTGTAAATGTTTGATAGAATTTATAACTGAAGCCATATGATTCAGGGTTATTCTTTCTTGGGATGTTTTTCATTACTGATTCAATCTTGTTATAGTTATAGGTCTATTCAGATTTTCTGTTCTTCAGGAATCACTTTTGTTGATTATGTGTTTCCAGGCATTTGATCTAGGTTAACTGATTTTTTGGTTTACAAGTGCTTACAGTATTCTCTTATAATTCTTTTAATTTCTGAAAAATTAGTAGCACTGTCCTCAAATTCATTTCTGATTTAAGTAATTTGGGCCTTCTTTCTTTCTTCTGCATCAGTCTAGCTGACAGTTTGTCAACTTTGTTGATCTCTTTGAAGAAACAACTCTTGTTTTAGTTGGCTTTCTCTATTCACTATTTGTTTATCTCTGCTCTTATCTTTATTATTCCCTTCCTTCTAATAACTTTGAGTTAGTTTGTTATTTTTCTAGTTGCTTAAGGTGTAAAATTAGTTACAAGTTTTGAGATCTTTCTTTTTTTAATTGTCTTTTCAGCTATAAATTTCCCCCTTAGTACAGCTTTCTTTACATCCCATAAGTTTTGATATATTGTGATTTTGTTTTCAGTTGTTTCAAGTTATTTTTTCCTAGCTTTATCAAGGTATAATTGAAAAAAATTTATATAATTAAGGTGTACAGGTGATGTACACATTGTGAAATGATTACCACATCAAGCTAATTAACATATCCATCACCTCACATATTTACCATCTCTGTGTGTGTGTGAACAATTACAGTCTACTCTTTTAGCAAATTTCAAGTATACAATACAACATTATTAACTATAGTCACCATGTTATACATCAGACCCTAGGATTTATTTATCTTGCAGAACTGAAACTTTGTAACCTTTGACCAATATTTCTTCGTTTTCCCCATCCCCCATCTCCTGGTAACCATAATTCTACTCTGCTTCTTAAAATTTGACTTTTTTAGATTCCACATGTAAATGAGAACATGCAGCATTTATCTTTCGGTGTCTGGCTTATTTCACTAAGCATAACATCCTTTAGTTTCATCCATGTTGTTACAATGGCAGGATTTCCTTCTTTTCAAAGGCTGAATAATATTCCATTATGTATATATGAGTGTGTGTGTATGCCACATTTTCTTTATCCATTCAACTGGCATCGGACACTTTGATTGTTTTCATATTTAGTCTATTGTGAATAATGCTGTGATAAACACAGGAGTGCAGATAACTCTACAAGATACTGATTTTGTTACCTTTGGATATATACTCAGACATGGAATTGCTAGATCATATGATAGATCTATTTTTAATTTTTTGAGAAGCCTCCATACCGTTTTCATAAGGACTGTATCAATTTACATTCCTACAAATAGTGCACTAAGGTTCCCTTTTCTCCACATTCTCACCAACACTTGTTATTTTTGATAATAGCCATCTGTTAAGGTATAATACTTGTTAAGGTATAAGGTGATATTTCATTTTGGTTTTGATTTGTATTCCCCTGATGATTGCTGATGTTGAACACCTTTTTTCCCCCCTCACTTACCAGATCCATGTGCTCAATAGCCTGGCAGATTTTACTCCTCATCAAGTTTTATACTAATTTCCTATTGGATTCCATACCACGGACACTTGCACACAACCATACACTCTCCTTGCTGGGTTTCCTCCAATTTATGTTATTTTTTTTTAAAGTTCAAATATGAAAACCTGAGAATGTCACTACCATGTTTGAAATATTTAATGTCTCTCAAGTAAATGAAGCCCCGAATCCCAAGGGTGGCATGTGAAGCACTCTCTCTCCTTCCCTGCCACGTCTCTCTTGTTCCTTCCCTTATGTGCCCAGTCTTTTCCCACTTCACCACCTTCTATAGTTGGCATGCACGGCAAACATCTGCCACCTCATGGATGTCCTGTGATCTTAAATGTTACAGAGGTTTTATGCCTCCTATTTCTTCTTTTTACAATGTTTTTTTCCTGCTATTCCTTTAGAACTAGAACAACTTCCTCTTCCTCTGGGAGACCCAAACATAAAGGGTCACATAGTAAAAAGCTGTGTTGATCATCATAATGTTAAGGCCTAGGATAGTGTTTGGCACATTGGTGTCATAAAAATACTGTGCATTGCAAACTCTAGTAACCCAGGTAAAATAAGTCTTTGAGGAGAGACAGTCCTACTTGAACCAGCAGGTGGTGCTGTGGAACTAACCATGGATAGTTGGCTTGTGGCGGCTCCCAGCTGTATGAACCCCAAGAGAGTGGAAAGCAGAGGCTTTTGCTTGCTGTTGGGAACTTTGGAGATGTGTCCCTCTAGGAGACATATCAATGGACTCATTGGTGATAATCTATGAGTTATTCAGCAGAAGCTGAATAATTTCAGCAAAAGTCTGGGAGCTCTACTTGATTTTTCTCCAGCTTTTAATGGTTCTAAAATAAGCAGCTTGGGCCAGCCGAGTGGCTCAGTTGGTTAAGAGCTCGCTTGGGAACACCAGCTCTGAGCAGCAGGGCCGCAGTTTGGAACCCACATTAAGGGCCAGTGACACTGCGCCCTCTACAGCTAAGATGATGAACAACAGCTTGACCTGCAGCTGGGCTGCTGAGAGTCACTGGTGATGGCATAAGCTGCAGTGGGGCTGCAGTGTGCTGCCATGAGCTACATGAGTTGCTGGCAGCCAGCGTGAGCAGCTAGCAGCTGGTGAGAGCTGCTATGAGCTGCAGTGAGCGGCCGACCAATGACCAGTGACCAATTGCCTCACCTGGGAAGAGCACAATGATCATACCAACATGGGCCAGTGAAGCGACGTCCTCCACAACTAGGCTGAAGAACAAAACAGCAATTTGTCTACCTGTCTGTTCCCCTTCCTCGATTCCCCAACACTGTTCCCTAATAAAATCTTAAAAAATAATAAATAAATAAATAAATAAAATAAGCAGCTCGGTAGAGACTTCCGGTAAGATGGTGGAATAGACAGACGCTGTGCCAACTGCCTCCCAGGATCACACCAAAATTACAAATAATTTATACAACATTCAACCTTGGAAGTTCCCTGTACACTAGATGAACAGACCCTCTAAACGAAGGACTTAAAGAGGAGGCCACATCGAGTCTGGTAGGAGGGGCAAAGATGAGAGAGGGAAAAACCTCATGAGGGACAACTCAGCGGAGGGGAGGCTTCCCTGGTTGGGTGAGAGATCCTCCGGGCCCCACTCCGCACTCACCACCCCAGAGTTACTTTGCCGGGAAGAGAAATCCTACAA